TCCTCCGCCACCTCCTTCTCCTCCTCCTCCTCGTCCTCGTCCTCGTCCTCGTCGTCTTCCTCGTCCTCGTCCTCGTCCTCGTCCTCGTCCTCGTCCTCCTCGTCCTCGTCCTCCTCCTCCTCCTCCTCCTCCTCCTCCTCCTCCTCCTCTTCCTCCTGATCCACGTCCCTCCCTTTTCCCCCCTTTTCCCCACAAGCAACCTCTCCCTGTCGCACCCCCGGATGCGTCTGTAGTGGGCTGGGCGCGTCGCCTGAGACTTCCTGCGCCGCCCCGCTTGGGTGTACGCAAGGTCCGTCAACGTCGAATCGGCAAACCGGATCGAATCGGAATGTGCGTCGGACCGGGCTGCATCGGCACGGGATTGGAATCGAATCGGATCGGCTGCGCCGGGATGCAAAACAACACCAGACGAGCATCGGGCCGCACCAGATCGTCGGCAGGTCGGAGTCGAATCGAATCGGGCAGGCGGAAATCGGCATCGACTCGGATCGATCGGATCGAAGTGGACCCTGGCTTACGCGCCCTCGCAGGTGGATGCTGCCAGAGTTCCAGATGGCAGCTCCTTCCTCCCACGTCGCGAGGCGCGCCAACAAAGACGAGAAGAACCGCCGCGGACCGATGGTGAGCACAGAAGCAATGCCCTCCGGCGGATGGGCGAGCAGCCGCCTGAACAACAGGATTGCGAGATGATGATGATGCTGATGATGATGGTGTTGGTAATGCTGCTGATGTTGTTTGTGACGCTGCTGCGGATGATGATCACGATGGTGATGATATGTTTGATGATGATGGCGGTGATGATGATGTTGACGACAACGGTGATTGCGGTGATTAATGGGGACGATGGCGACGACGAAGACAGTAACGATGATAGTGGTGACGCTGATGGTGGTGGTGGCAATGAGGATGACGAGGGTGAAGGTGAAGGTGACGCTTACGATGAGATGTTTGGTGATGACGGCGATGATGCAACTGGTGGTGTTCATGATGAGAACGATTCGGATGATTAGGAAGTTGATGATGGTGATGGCGATGGTGATGGTGGTGGTGGTATCTATGATGGTGCTGGATGATGACGCAGACGATGATGGCACTGGAGATGATGCTTCGAATGCTGGTAACGATGGTGATGGCGATGATGATGGTGATGATGGCGATGATCTTTGTGATGATGACGATGATGATGATGTTTGTGATCATGACGATGATGATGATGATGTTGATGATGGTCTTCGTGGCTGCTCGGGGGCGACTGCCGCTCCGCGCGCTCAAATGCCCGACCGGTCTACCGGGCAGTACAGTGAGGCGAGCGGACGAGGTGCGCAGCTGCACCTTTTGAAGCCGTCGAAGCAGACGTTCTTGACGAGGTCGTGACTTTTGGATGCGGTCGAGCGCGGCGTGCAAACTGGGAATGTAGTTGGAGATCTGGTCGCGCATGTTCTGGATGATGGTGTCGTTGTCGGTGAGCATCTGGTTGCACTTCTTGCAGACAGCCGAGAGCACGGCGTCGGCGCCGAGCAGGAAGGCCATCGGCGAGCTCCGTGAGCTGGAGCTTGGCGTCGGTCTCCATATCGGTCTTCATCTCGCCCATCGCCTCCGCGCGGCGTTGCTCACTGGCGTCGAGGACGGCACCTGGATGGTCCCAATGTGCAGGGGTTCCGCGACCTTGTGGTGACCTCCTTCCAGGAGCAATTCAGCGGCATGGTCCATGGCGCCGAATCAATGTGCTCAGCCAAAGTGTTGGGCAGCTCTGTCCCGGCCGCGTGGCCGATACGAGTGCGCGGCAATCTTCCCTCCCCCTTCCCCCTCCTCCCCCCTCCCCTCCTTCCTCCCCTCCCTTCCGCTCCTTCCTATGGCGGTGTTCCGGCCTACCTGGCCATGCAGTGCCACGGGATCTCCCGACGCGGCAGCGCACCGAGTCCGTGACACGAGCTACGGGGTGCGACAGCCCCGTGGCCTCTGTCCCGGCCGCGCGGCCGATAGACGTGCACGGCAATTTCCCCCCCCCTTCCCCCCTCCTCCCCTTCCTCCCCCTCCCCCTCCTCCCCCTTCCCCCCCCCCCCCCTCCTCCCCCCTTTCCCCCTCCTCCCCCCTCCCCTCCTTCCTCCCCGTCGCCGATCACGTCGACGGCCCAAGACGCGAAGTTCGCGAATCACACGGCGCTGTCCTCCGGAGCTCGTTCCGCACGAGGATCCGCGCGTGGAGCGTGCTGTTCCCCCGTGGAGCGTGCCGATCCGCATGGCGACTGTGGAGATCAGCGCGCGGCGCGAAGCTCAGCCCGTGGGGCGTGAGGCTCCGCCCGCGGAGCGTGCTGCTACGCGCGCGGAGCGCGGGTATCAGCCCGTGGAACGCGAAGATCCGCACGTGGAGCGTGCAGCTCGCTGCGTGGCGCGTGATGATCCGCGCGTTGGCCGTAGTGATCAGCGCGGGATGCAATGAAGCTCAGCCCGTGGGTCGCGAGGGCCCGCCCGCGGAGCGCGACGTTCTCCAGGTGGGCTGGGAGGGCGCACCCGCGGAACGCGCGGCTCCGCGCGCGGAGCGTGATGCTCCACGCGCGGGGCGTGGTCGTCATCACGTGCTGCACGAAGCTCGTCACTCGGAGCGCGGGGAGCTGCCAGCGGAACGTCAGGCTCGGGTCGCTCGGCGCCCGACGCGTGCAGCTCCGCCCGTGGAGCTTTTGAGGGTCTGCCCGTGGCGCGTGGAGGCTCCTCGAGTGGACTGTAAGAAGTTTCGCGTGGACCTTGGGGATCCACGCGTGGAGCGCGAAGTTCAGCACGGGGCGCGCGAAGTTCCGCGCGTGGAAGGGGCGCGCGCAGCGCAACATCTCGTCGACTCTGCTGGGAGATGCGTGGGATGGCACGAACTTCCGAACGGATGATGCCGCCGTTGGAGTCGAGACAGGCACGGGCCAGCCCGCATCCCCGGCCGGCGACGTCGCGCGGGATGGAGAAGAGCAAGACGAGCGAAACAGCGGCGCGGCCGACACGGCGGTGCTGGGCTCCTGATTGATGTGCCCGGCGATCGCGTCGACGATGGAGAATTTGCGCGGTGGCGCCACCGTCGGCGCAGGGCTGCAGGAAGCAGAAGCAGTCACCAGCATGCTCATGAATTTGAGGTGCACGACCATGGCGTAATGCAAGAAAGCGTTCCTTTATTTTTGGAAATGACGGGCGTCACGGGGGGGAGGCGGGGGGGCTATGACACAACGCCCCCCCCCGCCGTGTGACTCCGGCACCACAGCCGCGCTCGCGCCCACGACCACAATGAACGACGAGAGACGAGAGACGACGACGAAGACGCGAGCAGCATTTAAGTGGCGATCTGCACCACAGCCTTTGTGTACACCACATTGCTCGCGTGCACCACAGCGCGCGTGTGCACCACAGCGCCTGCGCACACCGCAACAACCGTGTGCAACGCAGCGCCTGCGTACACCATCGTGCTTTCGTGCACCTGCACCACAGCGCCGGTGTACACCACAGCGAATGTGTACACCGCAGCAACCATGTGCAAAACAGTGCCTGTGTACACCACAATTCTTGCGTGCGCCGCAGCGCCTGTGCACACCACTGCGCCTGTCTACACCACAGCACCCGCGTGCAACGCAACGCTGGTGTACACCACAGCGCCTGCGTGCACAGGACAGGTAGAAGGAACATGTCGGTGAGGATCTGCTGCGGACAGCTAAACGCAACGCCAAAAAAGTGTTGATTATAGAATGTGACGTATTTCCCTCCGCCTTCCTCCTCCGCCGCCATTTCCTCCTCGTCCTCCTTCTCTTCCCTCACCCTTCCCCCCTTTCGCGCGGGTCGGCGCTACAGCGCACGTGCGCTTCTCAGCGTGCACAGCATAATGGTCGATTGAATCAGTCCACTTGGTATCCGGACGGCCAATTTTGCTGGAGCCTCCTGGACGCAGATGGGAGGAATTAGGCTGATGCGGGCGGGCTCGGGAGGACCCATCAATTCCACCGGCGTTCCTTTTTCCATAAACATTCCGTTCCAAATCCTACATGAAAAATATTGTTTTCGGTGGAATCCACAGGCGCTCGATTTTGTCATAACGATTCCTTCTAAAATTCTATATGCAACCGTGGCACTCTGTTGCACACGGTTGCTGAGGTGCACACAGGCGCCTTGGTGTACACAGGCGCTGTCGTGCACGCGGGCGTTGCGATGTACACTGGTGCTGTGTTGCGCACGGCTGATGTGGTGTTCGCAGGCGCTGCGGTGTACGCGAGCGCTGTGGTGCCCGTGGGCAGTGTGGCGCACACTGATGGTGTGTTGCCCGCGGCTGCTGTGGTGTACATAAACGGTGTGGTGTACACATGCGCTGTGGTGCACGCGTGCACTGTGGTGTAGACAGGCGCTGTGGTGCAGGTCGCCGCCTACATGCTGCTGCTACCCGTCCTCGGTCATTCCTAGGCATTCCCACACGCCGCCAGCGTGAAACGTGACGTCATCGGCCCCCCCCAAATGATTGGTCATCGGCCCCGATTTGTTTTACATATATTTATATATAGAAAAACTCCAGCCGCGTCCGTATGCACGACAACGATGAACGAAGAGCGACGACCGACAACGACGACGAGCGACGAGCACGACGACGACGACGAGCACGACGACGACGACGACGACGACGACGACGACGACGACTGCGGACCAGACTCCTATGCGGGCTCGTATCTGGACGCCTATGCGGATCCCGATGCGCACGGCCGCATTGCCCGGAGCGGGCTGGGGGGACGGGGAGCGTTACATCGTAAAGGGGGGGGGGGCCATGACGCCCATCATGCCCCAAACAATAAAGAAACACTTTCCAAGAGGCGAATGAGACGATGATTCGATTGGCGGGCGTCCCGTCGGCCGCAGCGTGGACGGCAGCGCCATGCAGGCCGCGCGTGTACGAACTTGGAGGAGCCGAAGTAGAAGAGGAACTGCGCGCACGGCCTCGCAAAAGAGGCTTCCTGACCGCAGTACCGGACGACGCAGCGGGAACGT